CTGTTAAATGCTTATGCTTTTTTTTTTTTTTAAATGGTATAGCCATAGACATTTCTATATGAAATTGGAGCAGTGTTTGAAATGACTTTAATAGATGGTGTGAGATTATTCTCAGGTTGTGACTTACTGTGAGGTATATGGGTGGTAGAATCTTTAGTATGGACTTTCCTGCCATATCTAGTTTTATCTGTGGTTATGTGTTTTCTGGAATGAACGAATGGAGTCTTTCAGCTGATGCTTTTTCTGAGCCTTTAGGTGGACAGCTCTGTTCTTGGCTCTGGAATCTTGCAGTAGTGCTGTCCTTTGGACTCACACTGTGCCAGAATGTTGTAGCTAGCAATCTATATACAGATGTCTACAGAATTACTTCTAGTATACGTCCACTCTCAGTTTCTCCAACAGGCCTGTCTTACACTCATTTCTGAGCTAGAATGGGCTCCATTGTATTTAGGGATTTTATACGTATTTTTGATTTTAAGAAGTTTCTTCTTTAGTCTGTATGTTTTATTTTGCCTAATTGGTCAGAAACTGAAAGTTTGTAAGAAACCAGTGGACTACAGTAATCATCAAGAAATTAACTACAGTAATTGTCCTTAAAAATTGCTTTAATAAAGATGAGACTTTGCGTAAATTTCAGTTGTGTAAAAGCAATACACTGGCATGCCAGAGGGATTTTATTTGGAAAAGCATTTATAAATTAGTTTGCTACTCTTATCATTGTTTCCAGGATAAATGTGAATAACAGAATCAATTTCTAGTTTGTCTCTAGAGAATTGTTACAGTGAAACATGATGTAGGTACAATTAAAACAATAACTTACTGTTTCTCTGCTTACTAAACAAAACATAAGAAAATTAATCTGTCTTCTTTGAAAGTAATATCTTTTGGGAAGTCATACATGCTCATTCTAAAACATCTTCGCTTTAGTAGTTGAAACTAATTGTTAATGACAAATTACAATTTTGTAATGTAATTTTGACAGCTGTTTATTAAAAGTATGTTATTCTCCTTGGCTTTTTTTTATTTCAAATAACCAAATGATAATGAAGGCAATAATAATAGCTGAAATCAAATGAGGAAATTTTCTAGGTGCCAGACTCTGTGTCAAGCACTTTCCCTGGACTTTTTTTCATTCATTTCTCATGACTGTCTAAGACGTAGGTATGTTGTTATTCCCATGAATATGAGAATCAAGTGAGGCTTCTGTGAAGTTGTCATTTTGTCCAAGTTTAGCTAAAGTAGAGCCAGAATTTGAACCCATACAGCCTTATTTTTGAAGTTCATGTGCTTGTATTTTCCTACTTTACTATAAATTTGAGGACTAGTTTCATTTTCACATAGAATTCATGATTTTTGGCTTTTCTTAATGGGAAGATAATCTCATGGAGAAAGGACATGTGGTCAGAACGTCCCAAGGCTGCAGTCCATTGGAAGGCTGTTTTACTAGCAGCACAAGGTACATTCGGGATAGGGTGCCAAGACTTGGCAGAATAGCAAGGCATCTGACAGTTTTCCCTATTTAAATTTGTTTTGACAGTTCTGCCAAGTATGGGGGAAGACAGATACTATTTTTTAAAATTGTGAGCTCTAACAACAGAATATCACGTTTTGCATGTTTAAGTACTATCATTTTGGCCATATCTGCATGAGGTATTTTTTCCCTGGGTACTTGTTTTTGTGTAAACCTTGGTGTCGAAAAGGAATAGTATTTGTGCCACTTATGAGAAAATTTTATCATTAAAAAATTATTAGAGAGGACTGGTTTTTGTGAGAGATACATAATAAATATTTTTGGACTTATTTTGAGGAGAAGGTTGGGAATGTGACATTTCATATAGAACTGAATAGAGTTGCAGATTATTAACATTCTTATTAGAGGATATTGTTGATATTGTTTAAGAGTGGAGTTGGGAGGTATTATGCTTTCAAAATTATTTTCTCCCTGTACCTCAGTCTGTAAGTAAAGGATGAAAACTTGCATGATAATTCATTTATTAGTTACCAGTTGGCTTTTGAGGGCTAAAATAGGTTTATTATATTTTAAAGGAAAATCAAGTTAGTTAAAATGGTATTATAAGAATAGCTCTAGAGGAACTAATAAAATGGATATTTTTCTTAGTTTGAGCTTGTAGTCATTGAGTTTCAACAATATCCTGTGACTATTTTCTTGTTTAGAGAATGTTGATCTTACATTTATGCTGGCTTAATGGTTTACATTATTTACAGGTTTATATTCAGAGTTTATCTTATGTTGTTTATTGTATTGCTTCAATTTGTAGAAAACATATGGTTAGTGGTATAGATTAGTCGGCCTTACTAGGATTTTATTTAAAATAGTGTTCATTAAAAAGCTCTCACTACAGCTTTAAATCAGAAAAACTAATTTGGGAAAATGGGCTTCAATATGTAGTATAATTATATTATTTCTACCACCATTGTTTCCCCTCAGGAACTATCTGATGAGGTTGAGGATTCTTAAAATTTAATTTGGTATGAAGTAAACATTTGAGAAATTGGCTTTGGAGCTGCTGTGGTTTATAGGAGATTCTTTGGTTGAAAATAGTAATGAAAGATTTCCATATGTTTATTAAAGTCATTAGACTGAAATCTTTAGGATAAGAAAGATAATTTTAAATAAAGTATCAACTCTTGGTCATTTTATTAAAAAAAGTCGCTTGTTTTAATTTTTCCTCAATACTGCAAATGATCAAAGGTTTATTTATTTTTTGAGTTCTGCACTTGTATTAGTCTTCTGTCACATCTGTAGTGTTTTGTTGGCAAGAAGGTGTAAAGAAATGGAAAGGCCATATAGGGAGAATTTAGGAATAGGAAAATTTGAATTAATGGTTAAAAACTCAGTCTTTTCCCTCCTACGTTGCAGAAAGCACTTTGTTTTGCATTTGTGCTCACTAGTGTTCTTCCCTCTGTGCCAAGATTATTGGCTGACTTTCCATTAAAAAATTCCTTTTGTGGTAATGTGATGTGGTTTGCTAAATATTGTATATGTAGCATTCCTGATTTCTGTTAAAGGCCTAAGACCACTAATGTCTAATGTTCTAAAGGGGAATTTTGTTTTCATGGATTTTAAAATACTGTGTTGCATGTGATCAGATACCTCATTTTTGTATTTTTATCATTGTTGAATGGTAGAAAGAAAAGGTATTCCAATTCATTAACAAATAATTGAACAAATCTGGATGGTAATTTTTGTATAATAGAACTTGTTGCTCTGAGAATTTGAGTTTTAAATTTTAAGTCATTTCATACTCTTTTAGTACAAGTTATAGTCTCTGGTCAGTTTGCTTATAATCCTTCTAGTTAAAAGTTAAATATGAAAATATAACTCAGTATCTTTTCATTTCATTTCTGATTTTAAGAAAACACTGATTTTTCATTATGGAAACTTGGTAGACACCTGCTTTTCAGATTAGCAGTTGACGTAATGCCAAGGCATTTTGATAATGAGTTTGTGTTTTTCTTCCAGCTTGTACTTCCAGAGTACCTCATCCATGCTTTCTTCTGTGTCATGTTTCTTTGTGCAGCAGAGTGGCTTACCCTGGGTCTCAATATGCCCCTGTTGGCATACCATATTTGGAGGTAATACTTAGATATATTTTTAATATCTCTTCTATTTAAATGTTTATTATTATTTATTAAATTTTATTCATCACCGTTATTATTATTATTTTTAATTTGACCAGAGAGAGAATGAGAGAGGGAAAGTGGGAAAGCAAGCTGCCAGGTCCAGGGTTCAAACCACAGTTAGCCATGTGGGAGTCGTAGTGCCTCAATCACCATATCACCTGCTGGCACCATCTTCTAATTAAATTTTAATAATACTGTGGCTGTTATGGTTATCTTTTATGCCAGTCTCTTAAAAAACATTGAAAATTCATTGGTCTTAATTTTAAAAAAATCAAGTATATGAACAAATGACTATTTGAATTCCACTTATGGAGCTTACTTAATTTTTAAAGCTGTAACTTACATGTAGTAATGTGCATAGATCTGAAGCATGTGCCTTTACTCCTGTGAAATCATCTCCCAGGTCAAGTTATGTAAGTTTCTACTCAAGATATATGATAGTTACAACCTCCAGGTGATTCTCTTTTGGCTTATACCAGCCAGTTGCCCCATACCTCCCAAGGCCCCTGACCTCTGTCAGCTTAGATTAATTTTGCCTGTTTTGCGACTTCATATAAATGATAGACACATACTGTGTCTAACTTCTTTCTCCAGGTTTATTTTATAACTTTAATGAAATTGGTTATTTATAAAAGAGAATCATATTTTATAACTTCTAATAGTTATATGTCTTATATATTAGAATTAGATTTTTTTGTTTTATAAGTGTGTCAAGATCTCATTTCTGTTTGTTATAGGAAATACATAGTGAAGAAGTATATAGGAGTAAAGTGGTTTCATTGCTTTAACCAGTTCTGAAATGGTTCGGAAAAAGTTTGCCCATATTTAGAAATAGAACAAGGAAGAAGGATAAAGCAAGTGTGGCAAATCTGAGCATTTAGAATAGCAAAGATTGTCCTTAGATCTTGCATAAGTAAAAAACTAAGTCAAATAAGAAGTTAAAAGAAGAAGTTTTATAGGTATTTCTGTTTTTCTTGGATTTCTGAAAATGCAGAAACCAGATGAGACTTGTTTTAACTGTTTCATTCTGCACATTTAGGGACTCTAGTTTTAAAATTGAGATAATATAAAGGAAGAAATTCTACCTGTAAGTAAAAGTATGCTTCCCCTTATAAACCAACTCTCTTTGTAATACATGTTTGAGAAGAAAAACCCTCTTTTGCATCCTGAAGGTTTGCTGCCCATTCCAGGTGGCTAATAGACTGTGTTTATTCTAGGTATATGAGTAGACCAGTGATGAGTGGACCAGGACTGTACGACCCTACAACCATCATGAATGCAGATATTCTAGCATATTGTCAGAAAGAAGGATGGTGCAAATTAGCTTTTTATCTTCTAGCATTTTTTTACTACCTATATGGGTAAGTTTAAAAAATAAAATGGCAGGCATGATGGTCTTGACACATTACAATCCACCTGAGGAATAAGGTTTTGAATGTCGATAACTGTTTGTGGCATAGTACACACTAGCAAATTCACACACATTTAGTGTGACATACCTGACCCTTGTCAAGGCAGCATACTGGTGTGTAGTCAGAGAGAAAAAGTTAGGCCAGGGATGCTGCTTCCTAAGTTTTCAGACACTTCAGTTAGTAAAGGACAGCCCTCATGCTCCATGGCCAAGTGATGGCATTGATAGGATAAGGCTGTGGGAGTTTGCCAAAAGAGTTTCTCTCTAGAACTGAATTTTTTCCTTGTCAGTCTTCATAAACTGTATGCTCTGCTCTTAATTTTGTGGTTTGCTTGATCCAAATGGAATGAATGAAAGAAATAGTTCTTTCTCACAGGATTGTACAGTTACCAATTTTTCTCCTTGGATAGGGTGGTGGATTCATCGTTGTTTGTCTAGGTCAGTGTTCTCCACTTCCACACCGTTGACATCTGGGCTAGATGAGTCTTTTTTTCTGGAAGGCTGTCCTGTACTTCGTAGGATATTAATCAGCACCACTTGCCTTTACCCACCAGATGCCAGTGGCACTCTCTTCCCTCAGTTTTGACAACCAAAAATGTCTCAGGACATTGCAACATGCCCCATATGGGACAGCATTATCCTGAGAGCCACTGCTCTAGGAGTACTGCAGATGTGCCAAAATGCTTGTGAAAAGTAGAAAATGGACACTGTGAAGTGTGGAATTATAATTTTTATTATATAAATATATTTTTAAAGTCTTTTGTTGATATATATGCAGCTAGAAAGGACTTTCCATCTGATTTTTAAGTTATAAAAAAATGAGCTGTAAAAGAGTAAATCATTAAAATAATTAAGCTTTCATTCTCTCTCCTTGCTACTTGAATGCTTGCTAAGTATATGATAGGTTTATGTTGATATTGACCTTTAATCATAAAAGATATAAAATAGAAGATTCTATTAAGAATGAAATTTAAGAAAAAAGGTATTTTTATGTTTTTAGAGAGTGTATCTGAAAATGCATATCCTTTAGTGCATGTACAGATGATGCTCATATAGGAAACAGTGAATGGGCTCTGAGAAGTGAAATTTCATGCGTTGTTCCAATATCCTGTTAATTTTTAGTTTCTATAACAAATGTTTGGAACACAGTTAGCACTTAAAACATTTCTTAAAAGAAAGGAAAGAAATGATTAGATAATAAAGTTGGAAATGTGTAGTTGTGAGAAAATGTTCACAAAGATATGATGGGCACTAGGATATTCTTTTTTTTTTAATTTAGAAATTCTATGTATGTATGTATTTTTAATTGCCAGAGGGCAAGTGTGCTCAACAGAAAGAATGGGAGGGGGAAAGGGAGAAAGCACCCCCAATGGGGCATTGTCACACCACAAACACTTCTTCATCCCCCTATCCTGTCAGGATTTTAGGCATGCATGCACATGTGCCCGGTGTGTTTTTCAAGCTCCTCATGTCAGCATTTGAACCATGGTCAGCCATGCGGGAACCTTACTCTCTTAACATATAGGCCATTGGGCTGGCCCTAGTTCTATTTTAGAATTGTCTATCAAATTGGCTCATCTTCTTTAGGTTTCCATTTAGAAATACATGCTTTTGAACTAGCTTCTATACACTATTTATGTAGAATTACCCTTTATGGTTCTTAATCCTAAATCAAATGCTTGTTGCCTTTTATTTTGCTGGTTTGTCTCCTTTTCTTTTTTAACTCTGTTATTACTGCCTAGAGCCTTTCTCTCATGAGAAGATGTCTTAATTGATCATTCCCATCTATAAAATGTGAATAACAACAACACCTGTCTCATAGGACTGATTGGAGAATTAAGTGAGATAGTGTAGATAGAAGACTTAACAGAGGTCCTGGCATAAAGTGAGCCCACCAGAGATGCTAATGCTAACTCCTGTCATTAGATACAAGTCCAGAGCAGTGTTGTGTTTTGGAAGACTTCTCTATGCTCTGAATCTCCAGTAAGCTTTCAGATGTGTTGCTCTGCTTGCTAAAATTAGAAAGGAAATAGGGAACACTACAGCACATGCCCAGAGCCATGTCCTACACTAGGCAAAAGAACATGAATATAAATTAAAATCATACTGTGAACTTATTAGTCTTTTCATTTTCTGTAATGGTATGATATACCATATATAAGTTGTTATATAAAGCAGACTCAACTCTTTCATGCTTTTAGTTTTTATAACTGGGAATGTTTGAACTAATGACTTCTTTTCTTCTTTTCAGCATGATCTATGTTTTGGTGAGCTCTTAGAACAACATATAGAAGAATTGGTCCAGTTAAGTGCATGCAAAAAGCCACCAAATGAAGGGATTCTATCTGGCAAGATACTGTTTCCAAGAGTAGCCTATGGAATCTGATCAGTTACTTTAAAAAATGACTCCTTATTTTTTAAATGTTTCCACATTTTTTGCTTGTGGAAAGACTGTTTTCATATGTTATACTTGGATAAAGAATTTAAATGGAATTACGTATAAATTAATATAAAATGATTACCTCTGGTGTTGACAGGTTTGAACTTGCACTCCTTAAGGAACAGCCATAATCCCTGCTTGCCCTCCTAAAGAACCAGCCATAATCCCTGAATGATTGCATTAATTACTGACTGTCCTTAGTCCATTGGAAGCTTTCGTTGATAGGACTTGTAGGGCACATTTTGGTTTTATTGAGATGCTGTCTAATTATAAATTAGCTGTAGATTTCAGGTGCTTCTGATGAACTGAAGTGTATATCCGACTTGTGGAAAACTTCATGGGTTTCCTCATCTATCATGTAGATGATTATATATGGATACATTTACAAAAATAAGAGTGGGATTTGTTCCCTTTAACTTGAATATAATCTCTGTATATTGCATGAATGAGAGATTTCCCATATTTCCATCAGAGTAATATACTTGCTTTAATTCTTAAGCATAAGTGAACATGATATAAAAATATATGCTGAATTACTTGTGAAGAATGCATTTAAAGCTATTTTAAATGTGTTTTTATTTGTAAGACATTACTTATTAAGAAATTGGGTATTATGCTTACTGTTTAATCTGATGGTAAAGGTATTCTTAAGAATTTGCAAGTACTTAAGATTTTCAAAACTAAATGAGAAAATTGTGTAACCATCCTGCTGTTCCTTTAGTGCAATACAATAAAACTCTGAAATTAAGACTTATTTTCAGTGCATTGTTTTAATGATTACAAATAGATATTTCTTAAACTCATTTAATCCATAATAAAGACTTATTACTGTCATTTAAAAAATAGAATATTATTAAATTGTGGTTTTTCTTAAAGATACCATGATGGGATCTAAAATCAAAGATTTTTAAATGGCCAGGCATATTGCCCAGTGTTGTCATTTGACAAGATTCATAAACATTGATGGCATATCCTTATTTCTCTTACCAATTAAAAAAATTGTCATACTTCAAATATATTGAATTTCTCTTCTTTTTTTAAATACCAAGTTTTCAAAATGACTTGTATATTTATTTATAGAGTTTTTACCCATTCCTTTAAGGTAGGTAAATTATGGCATGTGTTTTTGTCAGTGTTCCCATACTTTATTTATGTACATTAAAAATAATGTAAGTGGTTTAGAAGTTTTTGGAGCAAAAGATCTAAAAAAAAGGAAACCAACATAAAGAAATTTCACATGGTGATCAAGGAAGTTTATGGACATATTTGTGGAACTCTTACTGTCATTGAATTGGATACCATTTTATTCTTTACTACTTAAAAATGCTTTGAAATAATGCTTCCCTGCCTTTGGAAGCATAGCTATTACTGTTTTGAGACTAGGTAATGGAGTTGAGTATGTCGAAGAGGAGGATGTAGAACCAGAAGAGTGAGCAGAGTTGAACCGTTTCATAATGAGGAAAGCTTGAAAGACCTTGTGTGGTATAGTGTAGAGAACACCTAGAGGGATGTGTTTGTCGGTTCATGTTTTAAGTTATTTATTGAGCACTTGCTAGGCACTGAAGATTATATTTCGAGTATGAACAGTCATTCAATTTTCAGCCTGTCTATTTATGTCAGTACCCACTCCTATTTTTTTCTGTTTACAAGTACTTTTTTTTTTTTTTTAAGTACTTTTGATCATTGCCCAAGTATTCTGTAATCCAGATAGGTTTTCCAGGGCTGTTACTTTAGAACCCTTGCTCTCATAGCAAACACGACTTTCCTTTATAAATTTTAATAAACACCCTTTTCAAAAACTATTCTAGGGAATTCTCCAGGATTAATGCAAACTACACTGGTTGGAATTTATGGAAGCCATGTTCTCATGCTTCCGTAATTAGATTTCTGATCCTCAGCTGATTCCTCAAAGATGATTGACAGTGAGGCTCCCTCAGTTCAGTGGCAAGTTGTTAGTGGGGCAGGTAAGTGATTAGAAAGTTGTTTCTTTGGATGCTTTCAGTACCTACTCACTTTTACCTTTTTAGTGTTTTCTGAAATTAGGTCACTTACCAAGAGAAAGCATAAACAAAATACTTACACTTGGCAATAATCCCACTGGTTCTTTCCCTTGCTCTGAGTTTAATTCTCTACCCACATGAACCTCTTTGGAGCAGCCCTGGTCTTATATGTAGTATTCTTGCAGGTTCAGCGGAGGTACAGTTAGCCTGGGTTTATCATCCTTACCAGCTTGATCCAGTGTTCCCTGTGTAGCGACAGCTGTTTATTTAGGTACTTTTATTTTTCCCTTTGTTATAATTACTTTAAATGTTGTATGTGATTTATCTTAGAGAACTTTCTAGCTCTCAGAAATCAATTTTTCCATTTGTGCCTATTGTATTTAGTGTAAGTAACATTATGGTTACAGCTGTCAACAGCTACTACAGATCTCCTGAGTTAAAAATCCTGTATAAGAAATGTAGTCTGTTTAGCAGTTATTCTATTAAAGAACACTACTCCATCGTGGCGGTATGTCCCTTTAGTACTGAGGAAGTGTAGAGGTAAACACTATTTGAATACCCATATCGAAATGTTATTACTGATGTTTGGTAGTTTTCTTAATGCTTAACTGCTATTCTCCATTACCCATTCCAGGTAGAGAAGAGTTTAGTTTTGGGCTGTAGACAAACTACCGATTTGTTTGAAGTTTGAATTACTTTTCATGAGAAGAAGAGATAGGGGATGACCAATCTCGTTTGACATGTATTAGATATTAGTAAAATATGGCAAAGCCTTTACTGATTATGTTGTGAATTGCCATGTCTACCAAGTTCAAGTTCAGATGCTTGAATGTCTTTCCAAAGGCAACAACATACATGAGTTTGTAGCATGTGTCTCTTCTGAAGTCTGTTCAGTGTCTTTTAGCTTGAAGACCACTTGTGCTCATAAGAGCTCTTCTCTGCTTCCCAAATCAACATACTATGTCGTATATTTACATAGAAAGGAAATAGAGCTGGATAGGCTTTGAAACTAGCAAAGCAGTTTTCTCTGTTCAGCATGTCTCTTTTCTTCTAATTAGGTGTTTATGAATAATGTTCATGAATATTACTGTCATGGTGCAAATAATGACTTATGTGCATCTTTTGTACCCTGTAGGGGTGAACTTTTAGGTGTGGCTATATTATAGCAGTATGAAATGACCAAATCCACTCAAATGATGATCTATATTAAAATAGACATCTAATTATATGCTCATTTAACACCCACAAATATACACCTCTCAATAATCAGTTATATAGTATTATTGTAAATCAGAAGTTTTGATGGCAAAAATATTCTAAAACAATACTCTTGAAGGGAAAGAAAAATATTGATATTTTGTCTAACATTGTTTATAAAAGTACTCATGTTCATCCTCTTTGGAAACTTAATGTTAAGTCTCAAATAATTTTAAGCTCTTTGGTTCAAACCAGTCATTGATATTCATTCAGACCAGCAGCTAATACTTCTCTGATTATAGTAATATAGATTAGAACATGAGGTTGTAATATTCTAGCACCATGCCAGGAGAAAAAATGTTCTATTTATGGATTAAGTTGACTAGCTTTCTTACAGCAATTTTACTTTGACTAAAATTCAGAGTTCTAAAGGTAAACGTCTAAAAGAAAATAATTTGCTTGTTCTGCTGGTCGTGGATAATAGAGCGAATCATATAAGATGACTTATCTGTGGAGCTGGAGTTAAGGTTTTGTCATTAATGCATTGTAGAATATGTAGATGCAAAAGAATGAATTGCATCTCTTGTAAGTTAATTTTATTGTACAGTGCTTTTTCTGAATATTTAATTTGCTTTCATGGTCATGTTCATGTATTCCGGAGGAGAAAAATTGCTTAAATAGATGGTGACAAGGTAGTCCCTTAAATTACGAGAGAAACATAAAATGTAGTTAGCTATTTATGCTTATGATTTGTTAAAATCTAAGTTAACCTTAATGGTGCTGTATCACTGTCCAAAGAAAATGCCCTTAAGTAGCTCTGTCTTACTCCTTAGAGCTTGCTTATTTTGCTTTTGTATATTTAATAAAAACTGTCTCAAATGTTTTCTTGTGTAGTTTATGGATAATGGTTGAGTCTGTGTGTTAATTCAAATTCACATGCAGCTAACTCTGGCTTCTATATAACCAGGGCTAGACTGTCTCTCAGCCCCTTATCCCCATTATTTGGGGGGCTATCACACAGGTTAGGCAGAGAAAATACTTTTCCTAAAAATGTTGGAATTAACATGTGTTAAACTCAACTGGACAATTATATTTCAGTTGTGAAACTCCATGTTTCTGTTCTAGAATAACTGATGTTTTCCCTTATATTTATTAATTAAGTACTTTAATCAAGCATTTTAAATGTACACGATTTAATTAATATTTGCAGTGGAAACAGATGTACATAATTTGAAAGTTTACTTGATTATTAAAATATTTTATTAATCCATGGTAATATTTTTCTTCCATTATTCTAAGTATGCATGAGTAAGCTATATATATGTGTATACATATGTATATATATATATATATAGAGAGAGAGAGCACCAATATAAAATTTGCTAATGTCAATTTCAGTAACTAGATCTAAAGTTTCATAGATTATTGTGATTTAAAATTGTATTTGGTTTTAATACCAAAATCAAAGGCCAATCTGTTATTGCAGCCTATACTTTAAAAAATAACTTTCTATAACTTGACATTTGTTATCTGAAATAATAAATCCATAGGTTAAACATTTAGATACTGGTGGGATATGTGATTCTGCCATTTTCAGAGTAATTTCATAAAAACTTAAGTCATAAAAGAAGTGCATGTATGAAAGTATTCAAATGTCTATTTTATATTACAACACTACTGGTGTATTCAAGTTTCCAAACAGCACAAGTAACTGCTTTGGAGTTTCCCTAGTGAAATTCAGGTAGTTCAACAGCAGCACGAGGGTGTGAGTCAAAAATAAGACTTTCGCTCTTGTATGATTTAAAAATCATATTTGGATATGGTGAACTTTTTTTTTTTTGTAGATGCGCTGATGAGTCTGCAACCTGCTGATAATAGCAAAATAAGCATTGGTTCATGTTTGTGATTAGCAGTAGCCAAGAGAGCCACAGGTCTACTGTACGTAGCGCTGAAAACACTGACCTCTGAAAACAGGTGCTTTCGCTCATTGCATGATCGTATTTACAGGCCAAATAACTAGGTAGTTCAAAGTTGAATTCAGTGACTTTAACAAGATAGCTTCAGTAGTATAGACTGAAGTGAAGGAATAAAAGAATTGGAGATTATCAATATGCAGCTATGTACTTCACAAAATAAAAGTGAAACATGTTCAATTCACTCTGTATAGTTCCTAGGGTAGGAAAATGAATGCTCTAAAAACTGAGTAGCTGAATGAATCAATGAGTCCCTCAGTTCTGAAAATGTTCCAGCACATGCTGCATAAACACCTCTTGGGGCTGATCCACTATTAGGAGGGAGGTGACTAGATAACTCATGGGATTCTTTATAGATCTATAAGCCTGGGACCAGCAGTTAGCGAATGGCTATGTTGCTGGACTCCATGTAGTCGACCACGGTTCGAGTCCTGGACCAAGTGGCTTAAACTCAACACCAGGCACGTGTGCATGCGTGCCCAAGATCCCAAGAGGAGAAGGGATTGTGGCATGGCCATCCCCCCTGGGGGGTGATTTCTCGCTTCCTGTCTCTGTCTCTCTCTTTCTGGCAAGCGCACGCGTCCTATAGCAAAAACCTCCCCCCCGACCCAAAAAAAGATCTGTAAGTCTATGAAGTAGAAAAAACAAAGGAAGAAATAGAGCAATAAAAAGTCAATGTAAGCTTGAATACTCATAACTAATTTTCATACTACCATGTCATATGGCCCCCAATACTTAACAAGTAGTAAAATGAGATTAGTGGTAAATAACAAAAATATGTACCCATAGACATTTCCCCCAGCATCTCCACATAAAATAGACCAGACCAGCCGTTGTATACCAATGAGGGAAATTGTATACCAATTTTTCTATTCCTTTGTTATAAGAAATGGAAGAGACATAATTATATCAATAAAATCTTTAGGAATATCTGCACATTTACATTTGAGTTGATAACACTAGTTTCATTTCAATAAAGATGCTAGAGGACTCTTAGATTTCAGACATGTCACATACACATTATTCAAAAATCTTCTTTATCTTGATACAGATCGTAATAGTGAATCTCTTGAAGATAGATGTGCAGCTAGTTTGTCCCGGAACTCATGAAGATAATTATATTGCTGGAAAAGTGAAGATTTGTTGAGATACAGTGTAGAAAACAAGTACCAAAGTAAACAATACTAGCAAAAAGAAGGATTCAGAAAAATGCTTGCTGGAAGGAAGCATTTACATCATGGGGAAGCTTTATTTTTCAGTAAAGTTCCGGGTAGTATGAAAAGCTGTTCCTTTACAAATGTCTAAAAATCAGAAGGTAGCCTGATTTTTAGACGAATATAGATGAATGTGTAATAAATCTGTGAAATCCTTTCTTTGCTTGAAGGAATAAGTAAGATTAAAAACAACACAGACAGGCATTACTATTATTATTTTTTAGAGGTCTTTGCTATAGGGCACGTGCGCTCACCAGACAGATGAGAGAGATAGAAAGCGAGAAATCACACCCCCCCCCCCGCCCCTCCAGAGGGGATGGCCACGCTGCAATCCCTTCTCCTCTATTCTCTTCTCGGAATCTTGGGCATGCATGCACACATGCCCGGTGTGAGTTTTAAGCCACTGGGTTTGGGACACGAACCACGGTCGACTACGTGGGAATCCAGCGACATAGCCATTACGCTAACTGCTGGTCCCAGACAGGCATTATTATTATTATTATTATTTTTGAGAGTTTTTTTGCTATAGGGCGCGTGCGCTTGCCAGACAGAGACATAGAGACAGAAGGTGAGAAAGCACCCCCTAGGGGGGATGGTCACGCCACAATCCCTTCTCCTCCATTCTCCTCTCAGGATCTTGGGCACGCATGCACATGCGCCCGCCGTGAGTTTTAAGCCACTGGGTCTGGGACACAAACCACGTAGACCACGTGGGAGTCCAGCGACATAGCCATTACGCTAACTGCTGGTTCCCACAGGCATTATTTTTGATAAATTTTTTTTCCCTGGGGAGTAAGTAGGGAGGAGAGGATACTTTCCGTAGCAATTAATGGTGGGATATTCAAGAAAACCTGGGGGCCAGCAGGTGGTGTGGTGGTTAAGGTGCTGAACATTACCACAAAGTCGACCATGGTTCTAGTCCCAGACTTGGTGACTTGCTTTCTCACTCTCTCATCAAATTAAAATAAATTAATGAATAAACAAACAATTCTTTAATAAAAAAGAAAATCTGTTCATAATCCATTGGCATAATTTTCACAAATGATATTTTTAAAAAAAATCACTAATCTTAACAGGTAAGCAAAGCAGAAGCTTTAAATAATTTATTTGGGAGTTTAAGTAGCTTTCAAAGGATATTTTTACTCTGCCAGTCATCTCATTTTACATTATTGAGGTGAAGCTACATACTGCTAAACTAAGCACAGATGGCCAAAGCTTGTTTACTACAGAATGTTGAGGTTGTAAATTGATATTCCATGCTAATGTGGGTTTACTGTCTCCAGTATTAAAGATATAACATATGCACATTTGTACATATATTTGACTGTATCTTTTGTATGAAAGAGAAGAGATTTGAGTTTCTTGAGTTTGAAACAGTTTGATTTTAACAGATAAGAGGGAGTTCTCTCTTCAGAAACTGCACAGTACGGTAGGTCCTGTATGAATTGTTTTGAGATAATCCGGTTGCTTGGTGAATTTATCAGTGATTATAATGTTTCACTGTATATGACACTTGATTAGACCCCTAACCCTGGGAAGACGGACTTCAAACCCATGAGCTGCCTGATGGCCAAGATTCTTTTATTTTTTTTTCTTTTGGAGAGGTTTTCGCTATAGGGCGCATGTGCTCGCCAGAGAGAGAGAGACATAGAGACAGAAAGCGAGAAATCACCCCCCAGGGGGGATGGTCACGCCGCAGTCACTTCCCCTCCATTCTCCTCTCGGGATCTTGGGCACGCACGCACACGCACCCGGCATGAGTTTTAAACCACCGGGTCTGTGACGCGAACTGCGGTCGACTACGTGGGAGTCCAGTGACATAGGCACGCTAACTGCTGGTTCCCACGGCCAAGATTCTTTTTTTTTTGGAGCGATGTCACTGTAGGGCGCGTGCGCTTGCCAGACAGACAGAGAGAGACATAGAGACAGAAAGCGAGAAATCACCCCCAGGGGGGATGGTCACGCCGCAATCCCTTCTCCTTCATTCTCCTCTCAGGATCTTGGGCACGCACGCACACGCGCCCGGCGCGAGTTTTAAGCCACTGGGTCCGGGACATGAACCGCGGTCGACTACGTGGGAGTCCAGCGACATAGCCATTACGCTAACTGCTGGTTCCCACGGCCAAGATTCTTTAGCATACACTTGGTTGATTTAGTTCTCAAACTGAACAAAGTGCTTGGGGAAAGAGGGAAAATTAACTTATAGATCTACAAATAAAGTGAAATCTGCAGGATCTTTTTAGTAATATTAATATAGAATAATATCCTTGGCATTGCTACTGCAGTGTTTTTGAAGTGTTAAGGGGATCATAAATGTGGAAGATGTCACTTTAGTTATCCATTGCAAAGGATAATTAGCACTACTTTGTTTTTTATATTCAGCTCTCATTAAATATTGATAGAATGGGGTTTTCCTTAGATCTTTTTAGCTAAAATGCTACCCAAAAAACTACCAAGGGGGACAGCTGGTAGCATAGTGGTTAAGGCAGCTGGATCCTACATGGGTAACTGTGTGGTTCATGTCTCAGATCTCTTGGTTTGAAAAGCATGCTGGGCATATTTGTATGTATACTAAAATCCTAAGAGGAGAATATAGGAGAAGGGACTGTGGGGGTGTGGCCATTCCCTCTGGGGGTGCTTTCTCACTTCTCTTTCTCTTTCTCTGGTGAGTCCATGCACCCTAGAGCAAAATGAAAAAAGCAAAACAAAACAAAACAAATACCAAGTTTATGGTAGCTAGCTCATTGTTTTAAATGAGAGGACCCATTCCTGGAATGGAATGAGATGAAAACTGAGCAGTAGTAGGTCCTGGAAGAGTAAACTGTAAAGTTCAATTTTTTTCCATTATGTTGTTTGAAATACTATGAATTTACATTTAATGTAAATTTAAAAATATATAAACAAATAATATTTGAATTATAGAGTATTTTAGATGTTCAGTTTATAGTTGTATCACACAGTATTTGTAACCACACCAAACAAGAACAGTCAACCTCCTCACCTTTATGGTCTGTATGGCCCCAGATCCTCTCAGGTCTCGCATGCTGTCTATGGCTTGCTGTGGTGACACTGTGTCAGACAGGTATAGTAGGAGACAAGCAGCTACTAATAGGATGTATAGAAAAATCATATATTACTAAAGGACTAGTGATGGATAGAGCATTTTATATTTAGATGTTTGTTGGTGTAGAAGATTGAGTCGGTGTAGTTGTTCAAAATGAACTCAGTGTGTTTTTGACACATAGTTATGATCTTGAATAACTGGTTGAATTAAAGTTTAATACTAGTTTCAATTTTTAAAAATTACTTTATGAGATATAATTCTTATACCATACAATTCATCCATTTAAAGTGTACAGTTTGGTGACTTTTAGTATATTTGCAGATATGTGCAATCAACAGTCAATTTTAGAATATTTTCATCATTTCAATAAGAAGCCCTGTACCCTTTTGCTGTCAGACCCCCCATATATCTTTGCCCTAGGTAACCACTAATCTTTCTGTTCTATAAGTCTGCTTATTCTGGATATTTCAGGTAAATGAAATCATACAATATGTGGTCTTTTGTAACTGGCTTCTTTCACTTAGCTCAATGTGTTTAAGATTCATACATATTATATATCTATATTTCAATCCTTTTTATGATTGAGTAATATTCCACTGTAAAGATAATACCACATTGTGTTTATCCATTCATCAATTGATGGACATTTTGGCTGTTTCCATGTTTTTGGCTGTTATTTTTTTTTAAAGAATTACTTTAATTTTCTTCATCATCATCATTATTTTTTAATTTGACCAGAGAGAGAGAAAGGGAAAGTAAGAAAGCCAACCATCAGGTCTGGGACTCAAACTGCAGTTGGCCAAGTGGGAATCCTGCACCTTAACCACCCCATCACCTGCTGGTCCCTTGGCTATTTGATTAATGCTGCTATAAACATTTATGTACAAGTTTTTGTGTGAATGCGTTTTCATTTATTTTGGATATATACCTAACTGGATTTGTGGGGTCATATGGTAACTCTGTGTTTAACTGTTTGAGGAAATGCCTGATTATTTTCTAAAGCAGCTGCACCATTTTACATTCCTACCAGCAGTGCACTAGGTAGAGTTCTCTTTCTCCACATCCTTTCCAATACTTTTTTTGATGATAGCCATCCTACTGGTGTCAAGTGATATTTACTGTTTTGATTTGCATTTTTCTCATGATTAATGATGTTGGGCATCTCTTCACATGCTTATTGGCTACATGTATATTTTGTTTAGGGAAAGGTTTATTCAGATATTTTGCCCATTTTTAAGTGGATTGTTTGTCTTTTTATATTATTGAGTTACAATAGTGCTTTATATATTCTGGATATAAGTTCCTTATTGATTACATGATTTAAAAAAATTTTTTTCCCATTCTATGGGATATCTTTTCATTTTGATAATGTCCTTTGAAATGCAAAAGTTAATTCTGATGCGGTGCAACACTAAAGGGAATAACTTACTCCAGAGTGTGGCATTTCAGGAACTGTTTTTGTTTTATCCAGCAATCGTTTTAAAATGAAAAATTAACATACAGTAATTAACTTTGGTTTTCATATGTATGTTACCCATAGATATTATTTAGATGTTACTATCAGTGTTAGAACACTTTTGTAGGGAGAACATTAGAACATATAAATAAAAATTCAGGTGCTAAGACTTGTAAATGATGTTTTGCATAATACTTCAAAGCAGCGCTGGAAAAAGCCTCCTATTCCCACCCACCTATCCAGTGAGCACCAAGTTTCGGGTCTTGAATAATCCTTTTTGTATTAGCAGACTTACATTTTGTTTCATTTTTATACAAAGTGAGCTATAGCCCAGAAATAGGAGTTAGTCTACTCTGAGGTTAAAAAAAATTAATAATGAAAATAAATTTCTTACCAAGACAAGATCTCCCAAGTCCTCCATAACAACTGAAAAAGAAATACAGTTTTGAAGTTTGTACATTTTCATTCCATCCCAAGCTACAACTAAAGACTTGCTCTGCTTTCTATTAATAGTTATAACTCTAATGTCTAACAGTGTTTTGCACACAGAGATTAATAAATCGAATTGACTGAATCAGTCAAGAGCATTTGTTGAGAGGTATTCTGAATATCTCATAAGGGTCAAGGTAGCCAAGGTCTTTCTATTGACTTCTTTAAACCCTAAGATCCACATCTGATAAATGGAGCATGTTACTAGAGATCAGGCTGTTTTTATCAACTCCTTTTGATTATTTTGTCTAAGCAAACTTTGAGGTTAAGAGACAAGCATATTAGAAACATGAACTTCTGGTCCAGTAGGGAGTTCTTCATTTGATGTGATATTTGCATGGAACTGTTTCGATCTTTTTATATTCTAGTCATCTCTCTCCCTTCCCCTACTGAGTAGAATTGAATAAAGGAACAAAAAATGAACATTTTATTTGTGAATTTATGTTCAGTAACTAGTGGTAACTTTTAATTACTGGAATATATTATAAGCCTAATCTAGGTAGTCTTATGAAAATTAATCTCTTTTTTAACTATCTTTTGAACCTGTATTCCCATTGGTTTTCAAGATATTTTAAGTTACATTTTTTCCTGTTTACTTCACAGCTCCTTATTTGGGGGCTACTTTTTATTATTAAAATTGAGATGTAATTCACATTTTTTGGTTGTTATTTCTTTGATAAGGCTTCTTATTAACTGTGGCTGGGTGTTTTGCTCTTGTCTTCCAAGAAGAGCCATTTCATTTTTAGAGCCAACTTCTAAAATCGTGTGGTCATTAGCTTGGGGTTCTGTTGTGCATACCAGTGCTTATATATATCAAAACCCAAAGTAGGCCTTATTGCATGTCGCCCTGTGAATGTCGGCAATGAAAGGAAGACCTGGGCTGCAGTATGCAGCCTGTACTGCATACTGCATAGAGTATTTCAGTCTGGACTGAAAAGCTGGGGAAGAAATGTAATTTTCTTCTTTTTGCATAAGTCAGAAAAACTTAACAGTCTAGCATGCTGAGTTTCCATGTTAACCTCAGTTGATGAAGCAAGCTGATAGTGTCAATTCAGATTTAAGAAATTATCTGAATCGTGGTTTGTGTAGATTTGTAATCTACATGCAATATTAACTAAATCAGCTAGCTTTTACAGTCCCACATGTGTACGGAGGCCCCATGCCTCCTACATTCACTAGTTATTGAACTTTGTAAACTGGCATTGAAACATTATAACAATGTTTTGTTGCTCCAATTTTATAAACTTTTATAGTGCAATACATGTTTATTCTCCTGAGGCAAACCAACAATAAATTTTTTTAAGGTTCTTGGTGCCTTCTTTAGTAGTATTTGATGAGAATCTTTTATACATTTGTAATAGATAAAGGAGATTACAAACCTTTTTTTTTTTTTTTTCTTTTAATCTTAAAACCATGTACCAAGTTTTTGGTCCAAATTGTGTAGGATAAGTTAAACTTAAATTGCATTCTATTAACCCATATAGTGTTTCTGTAAGCATAGTTATGTTGAAATAAAGTTTTAAAAAGCAAAAGCAAAAAAAAATTTATACATCTATTTGAAAAAGAAATCTCAGAATCGGTTTGAAAAATGGGCCCCAAAACTGGAAAATATTTTTTTACTAGCTACATCTACTATTTGCTTATACTTAGCAGGAAATTTATACAGATAACTATATTATTCTGAAATTCTGCTTTTACAATTTATACTGTTGAGTTGTTGGGAAAGTCATGATGCATTTTTGCATAGAAAAACAGAAAAAATACATCATCACTTTATTGGCATAATAAATGAGAGTATGCTGTTTTTCCTAGAGAAAGCTTGGAAGCTGTATGATATAGGATAACTTCTAGTTCTTTATTGCCTATTCTGCAAGCTATAGTTCTCTACCTATCACAGTTCTGTTTGACCACAAACAGATATATGTAACCAAAGACCCTTGTGTTAATACTAGGTTTTCCTTCAGAACTGGCATGAGGCCCCTGGGCTATAGGTGTCAGAAGAGAAGCTGGCTGGGCTTGCCCTTTCACTAGGTACACTGAGACTACAGGCTATTTTATATATCTCTAGTTCTTTTTTTTTTTTTTTTGAGAGGTTTTTGCTATAGGGCACGCGTGCTTGTCAGACTGACAGAGAGACAGAGATAGAAAATGAGAAATCACCCCCCAGGGGGGATGGCCACGCCGCAATCCCTTCTCCTCCATTCTCTTCTCGGGATCTTGGGCATGCACACACGCCCCTGGCGTGAGTTTAAGCCACCGGGTCCGGGATGCGAACTGCGGTCAACTATGTGGGAGTCCAGTGACTTAGCCATTACGCTAACTGCTGGTCCCTATACCTCTCTAGTTCTAAGCCATGCCCTTAGGAACCAGCTTTTTCAGGAATCAAACTATTAATACCCTTTCTTGTCCCAGAAAAGATTAAGCAGCTTGTTATAATACAAAATGTATGAGAAGCAGAGTGAAGGACTAGGCTTCTTGCTGTGGCACCTCTTCTGTGCTGTGTCTTACCTCTGGCAGAGCATCTAGTGTTGATTATCCATAGCACCCCGTATAATTGTCGTCCTTCCTCCAGGCTACCTTTCTCTTCCCTCTCCATTTTCCTCCCCTTTTCTTAAGCCATTTTACTGGAAGTTTCAAACTTTCAGACCAGCAGCTTATGATTTTTTTTAAGAGAGATTTTTGCTATAGGGTGCAAGTGCTTGCTGGACAGATAGAAAGTGAGAAATCACCCCCTGGGGGGATGGCCACACTGCAGTCCTTTCTCTATTCTCCTCTTGGGATTTTGGGCAAACACACACATGTATGCAGTGTGAGTTTCAAGCTACCAGGTCTGGAACTTGAACTGTGGTCAGCTACATTGGAGTCCAGTGATGCATTCATTATGCCATACACTGGTCCTCAGCAGTTTGTGTTTTTATAGTCATTGACAAACAAACATCCCTCTTTCATTCTGGTAGTAAAGTCATATTACTATATTGATTTTCAAGCCATGTTGTAAGATCGCCCATTGCATTGATGCTTTTTTTGCTGCAGGTTTTGGGGAAAATAAAAGGCTTTCTTGCTGTTGGAAGCAAACTGATAAGCTGACTAATAAGTGAAGTGTTATAGAAAAAGAATGATATTTTTGTGGTGGAGGGGCAAAATTGCAGCTAAAAGTCTAAGATAAAAGGAAAGGAAAGAAAGCCTGTAGCCACATTGTAATAATTTCCAAATCTACTAATTTGAAAAGTAATAACAGCACATGTCTGAGTGCGTATTCTATACCAGCCATGTGCTAGTTCTTTTTGTTCATTATCTCTTTTTAGTCCTTGTAACAAACTATGAGGTAGGTTTTACTGAGTAGAGTTGCAATAATTTGAGAATTCATTTTGACTGGGATATTCTCATGTAATATATTATGAAGAAAAGGAGAACATACTGTATTAGGGTTTTTCGGTTATTTTTAACGCAGATTGCAAGCTCCTCCATTATTTCACAGCAGCTGGCTATGTCAGGAGTCCCTCCATCTGGGATTGGATGATGATGAGTGATAATTCCATACTGCTGGTAGAAGTTCAAGAGATTTGGGACTCTATATTTTGACAGTTCCCCTCTGGTGCAGAAAACAAATATGTCTTGTATACCATAGTTCTTTAGTTCTTCTGCCAACAGACCAAGATAGACACAGACATACATATACAGAACATTACAAATTTAAATACAAGTAAGAAGGAGAATATGGAGCTAAATTTAAGTCAAACTATTAACAAATGACAACCTATAAATCTGAAATACCTATTGATTACATCTGAACCAAAGGTAACTAGAATTAAACCTGACTTTTAAGTCAAATGCTTTTTACTCAATTTGAGTCAATTATATTTTTGTTTTTGAAAAAAAAATTTGCAATAAATACTGTTTGAAAATAAACTGTCAGTCAGTTGCATGATGGTTAAGGCAGCTGGATCCCATATTGCTGATTGAGTCCTGGATGTGGTGACTTGAAAAACACATCAAGCACATATGTATGTGTGCTCAAAATCTCAAAAGAGAATGAAAGAGAAGGGACTGTGGCATAGTCATTCCACATGGGGTGGAGGAAGGTGCTTTCTCACTTTTTCTGTCTGTCTGTCTCTCTGGCAAGAGTGCATGCTCTCTGGAAAAGTTACCAAAAAAAAGAAAAATACCTAACATTTAGAAATAGACTCTTGCGAATGAATGATAGCACACTCTTTTTCTCACAAATTGACTATGCTTGCAACTTTGCTGTTTGTTTTACTGTAAATGTTGCATATAAAATCTCCAGCCTGGCCATGGCCATAGTGTCAGAGTTTTTGTGTTCTTCCTTTTATCTGCATTGTACCACATCATCATGTACTTAATTTTATGAACCAGGTAACTAGAAAATAAAGCAGTAACTATACTAACCTTACATGGCTTAGCTATTTTTATTAGAATCATATGAGCCAAGAAATATTGCTATAAGCATTCTATACACTGGAACGTCCTTATTGCAATAGTCATTCTAAAACATTTGGTTTAAAATAATTCTGGCTGACCTAACTGCCCTCTCTCCCTGCTTCCTAAATGCAAGGACATTTAACTATTTAAATACAAAGTACCTTTTCTCATGAACCTGTAGATCTGTACTTCAAAGTGACCAGTCCACATGGAAATGTACTGCAAGTGTCATGCACCTCATTTTAAAGACCAAGCACACAAACTGTCTCATTAATAATCTGCTTTATACTTAAAACTTGGTGAAATGATAATATTTAGGCTATGTTAGGTTAAATCAAATAATTATTAAAATAATTTCATCTGTTAATGTGATAACTATCAATAGAAAATGTAAAGTTATATATATGGCTTCCATTTGTGGCTCCTGTTATATTTCTGCTGGATAGTACTGCTCTAGATAAAACCATTTTTGTACTTGTAAAGACTGACCTGTAACTCACATACCTAACTAACCATTTTAAGAGAAGATGTATAATAATAATAAATAAATTAAGTAAATAATTCTTTTTAAAAAAAATATAGCCATTAGGTGGCATGGTCATTGGAACACTGGACTCCCACATGGCCGGCTGCAGTTTGAGTCCTGGACCTAGCAGCTTCCTTTCTCACTTTCCTTCTGTCTGTCTCTCTCTGGTCAAATTAAAAATAATAATAGTAAATAAAATTTCTTAAATAATTCAAAAAATGAGAAGAGGTAATTTCCTTTTTCTTTTTTTTTTTTTAAAGACAGATTTTTGCTATAGGGCACATGCACTCTCCAGAGAGAGAGAGAGAGATAGGAATTGAGAAATTACCCACCAGGGATGATGGCCACACCCCATCCCTTCTCCTCTATTCTCCTCTTGGGATTTTGGGCACACACACACTTGCGCCTGGTTGTTTTAAGCTGCCAGGTTTGGGACTTGAACTGTGGTCAACTACATGGTCGTCCAGCGACATAACCATCATGTCATCTGCTGGGCCCAGTAGTTTTCTATTTTTCTCTTGTGCACAGTGGATACTTTCTATTGTACAATGGTTTTCAAACTTTGCTAGAAAGGACTCTGAGGAGGTACTATAGGAACTGCTGCAGGGAGATTCTAGGTCTCCCCCACTGAACATTTTGATATATATATATGTAATTTTAAGAGATATTTTTTGCTATAGGGCACATGCGCTTGCCAGAGAGACAGAGAGACAAAATAAGAAATAGTTCCCCCAGGGGGGATGGCCATACTGCAGTCCCTTTTCCTTCATTCTTCTCTCAGGATTTTGGGCATGCACACACATGTACTCTCAATGAGTTTTAAGCCAGTGGGTCCGAGACTCAAACTGCAGTTGACTACGTAGAAGTCCAGTAATGTAACCATTACACCATCTGCTGGTTCCCATTTTGATTTATTTTATATACTGGATTTCATTTAAGGTTTCATTGCCAAAAATAAGTCAGAAAAAAAACCTAGAAACTCCTTTTATAGAAAATACCAAATGAATAAGGCATTTCATAAAGTACAAGAGTAGTTTTGAAACTATGACTTAAATTATATGTTGCATATGACCTGAGTGTTCTCCAAATGGAAGTTTCCTACCATAGTGAGTGTGTCTAAAATGGTAAATCTATATAAACATGGCAAAGGTCAACTAATTCATTAGCCTCTTTTTTTGTAGGTAAGAAAAATGTAAAGAAAGTACATTAGCAAACATATCCAGAACAACCGGGAAAAGATTTTAAGATTATTAAAAAATATATACTGGTCAGAATCATATACACATTTTTATTTCATGTACTGTGAAGATTTTGGTAGGGCTAGTTAGCTCTGAGATATTCCAAGCCAGTCAGAATGAAATATTTTGAAAATCCACATTTGCTAGTATTATATAATATATAAATTCCCATATTTACATATGGGAATGGAATATCAGGCTTACTAGACTTGAAGCCATGAGCATCCTTCATGTGAAAGGTGTGATTCCCACTTTGATTATCCTACCTAGATGTTGACTCTCTAAATGTTATAACCAGGATGGATAATTTCACTGCTGCCTCTGGTTCCTAGTAGGGCTTCATTTCTGCTGCCATAGTCATGTTTACAATGAGCATATGTTCAAAGATGTGGGCAGTACAATATGTCAGTTTTCTATTTATATACTTTTTGTCTTCTAACTTACACATTTTAATCTCAAATGCAGTTTATATGTATACTGTAACTACAACAATCAATAAAAAGCAATGATGTCATGTTTAGGTAAATGATGGATTCTCTGTGTCCTTCACAAATACTTCATATTTTACAATAAGTCTATAGTGAAACTGAACAAAATATTGAGCATTTATTTGGTATATTGAGAGAGCCTACAGTTTATTTTTGTTTTAACAAAGAGATTTTCAGTGTTATTAAAAAATTTATATATCAGTACGGCTATCTTGTATTATACTCACCTGTATCTTTTTGGATATTTCTTCTAACATCTTTAAATTTGCAACCTATAAGTAATAAGGCAAGTGAAAAAGTTAGTTTTTGATTATTTATAACATATATTTACTTATTTAGTATTATTTTAAAATATTTAATTAATTTAATTATTATTATTATTTAAAATTTGCTACAAGGTACACGTACTCACCAGAGAAAGAGAGAGACAGAAAGGGAAAGTGAGAAAGCAAGCCATCAGATCTGGGGATTTGAACTGTGAACAGCCATGGGAAAGTCTACTGCCTTAACCACCGCACCACCTGCTAACATTTAGAAAGTCATTCCACATGATCATTTGTGTCTAAATTCCACTGTGTATATGTATATGAATTTTAATTTCTTTATTTTAAGGCCTATAATTATAGGGGTACACAGATCCCAGCTGAAGGAATTCCTAATCAAGGATTCTTTGTTCTTTGTTTCTGTAACAAGTACTTAGCCAGTCTTTCCTCTCACTTGTATCCCAGGGTTTACATTTTTAAAAGATAATTGCAAATGTAAAGTGGTGACTGCAGATTTGAAAAGATTGAAGGACAGACCTATGTTCCTTATCTATAGCACACCACGAATGTTTCCAAAGTGAGTTCTCAGTGCTGAATATCTATGAAATTCCTTATTGCCCAGTACAGAGAATGATGAATTTTAAATAGATTCACAGGAAGCTAACTATAGTGTTACCTACCTGGAAGAGCACATAAGCCAAGAAACTGAGAACAATTCACTTGTGACAGAGGTAGCCTGATAAAAAAGAAAAATGTATCATTTTTAAAAAACTTATAAATGGAAATTCAGTTCAATAAAGGTGTTTCAAGTTAAACAGTACTCACAAAATACAAATTAATAGTTAACTATCAATGCATTGGACACAAAAATGTTTATAAAGATGGAAAGTTTTAATACAGTGACATCATTTGCTTTGTTACAATTTAAGTCTTAAAAATGGCAAATTGGTTTAAATTTACTTTAAAGATAGCAATGGCTAGATTGCCAATAGATGGTATACAGGGTGCTTTTTAGAAATTTATTTTTAAAGAATTATTTTATTTAACTTTATTTATTTGATTAATTTAACCAGAAAGGGATGGGGGTGGGGTGGGGTAGGGGAGAGTGAGAAAGCAAGCCACCAGGTCTGGTGCTTGAATCTTGGTTGGCCATTTGGGAGTCCAGTGCCTTTAACTACCATGCCACCTGGTGGTCCCAGTATACAGTGTACTTATATACTTATATAGCCTGTGGTGTATTACCTGAGATATACCTATATGAATAACTTACATAAATAAACTAAAAAAAATGACCCTGAAAACTTAATCTCCAGTATTCCTTCTACATTTCTCTTTCAACTTTTTTCTTTGTAGGACTTCCTTAACAGATGTAATTTTATAGGATGGAAACCACAGGGTACCTTCTGAAATAATTTCAAGAAATCATATTTCCAGTTTCCTGTGCTCAGGGACAGTGACTCACTTTGTCTGCAAGTAAGAAGATGAATTTAGAAGAAAAGAGGAAGCATCCTTTAAATCTTACCAGATTTTGAAAATTAGATGAGTTTTTGAGTTTTGAAGGAAGTTTGAAGGGGAAACAAAAGGTGTTACTATTTGATGGCAGGACAAAATACTGGGAACAATAACAGTATTTTCTCTTCCTATACAATGAATGGTGCTTTCTGCTTTTTTTTTTTTTTTTTTTTTTTTGCCAGAGCATATGCCCTCTCTGGAGAGAGAGGGAAATAGAGAGAAAAAGTGAGAAAGCATACCCATGGGGAACAGTCACACTACAATTCCTTCTCATTACTTCCTCATCTTGGGATTTGGGGCATACATACACATGTGCCTGGTGTGTTTCTCAAACCACTGGGTCCAGGACTTGAATCACACAGCTGGTCATTTAGGATCCAGCTACCTTTACCACCATGCCACAGGGTGGACCAAATGGTATTTTCTTAAGGAGAGAGATTATAACATTTACAGAGATGAGAGAAAACATTTGATTATGAGTTGTAGAGAATCTGGTGTAACCAGAAGTCACTTGCCAAGATTTAAAAGTTGGTTTTATATAGAAACTTTTTGTTATTGTCTTAACATGGCTTCTACCTTAAACGGAGTCTGCTGATAGATACTTTACTGTGACAAGGAGTTCTAAGTATTATCTAGGGTTTGACAGTGATAAATTGTTAAATTTTTCATTCTATATGTGGGGAGGGGCTTCAAAAAGTTCATGGAAAATATTTATTATGAAAAACGACATGGATTTCAAAATTTTCTTGTCTCCAAACTGTTTTGTTTTAATCCTATTTCCCTCCCATGAACTGAAGTCCCTTGTATATTGTATCCTACTATTTTGTCATAAAAGAATAAGCAGTTTTTGGTAGTAAATGGGAAGTCGTTTCAATCCATACTATTTCTTTTCCTTATTTGTTTCTACTAAGGTTTTCTAAATTTATAAAGAACAAAAAAAAAAGTCTTATTATATATCATATAGAAAAGGAATAATAAAATTAGAAGATTCCCTAATCAGCAGAAGATAATCAACTTAATATATTTTCAGTATGTAGTTATATTCTATAAAGGTTATGATGTAACATCAAATATTTTATTTCATCATTGATTGGACATGCTAACATACCATGATATCTGAATTGGAGTTTGTTCATCTTCAATAGGCTCTTCATCTGATGAATCAAATTCACTTGTTTGTATTGAAATCGGCTTCAAAAGAAATATGTTATATTAGAAACTATGAAGGGCAGTTTTATAAATAATGGTACAGAACAGTTTTATTATAGTTGATTCTTGCTTAAAAACATTGAATTTATATTTGCAATTCTGTCATCGATCTAGAATAGCAGCAAGATCAATAAAAATGATAAAGGACTGTTATTTACCATTCTATTAATGGTAAGCAGCACTGCTTAGTGGAAAGAGACTGGGAACCAAGAACCTGTCTACTGGTCTTGGCTCTCTTCCTTACTATATAATCTTGAATAGGTCATTTCAGTTTATTCTGGATCTGTTTTCCTCAAGTATAAAGTGAGAAAATTTAGTAATTCATTCACAAACATTTCCTGGACACTTTCATTTGTGCAGTTTGGAAGATGCAAAGACCCATAAGATAAATAGCTCACTTTCAGTATAGTTGGAGACACAGCTGTATGCAGAGATTACAGAAGAAAGATTTCAGTGCTAAATGGAAGCAGAAACTATGCACTGTACAACAGAGAAGGGAATAAAACTACAGGAGTTAGTGAAGGTTCCACAAGGGAGATGTTTAGCTGTGTTCTGAAGGAAGAGAAGGAAATTTCTAGACAGGAAAGTAAAGGCAATTAAAGCAAAAAGAGAAACAACTTCAATATTCAGGAAGTGTGATATCAAAATAGAGATGGGGCAGAGGAGATGAAGCTAGAGTAGTTTTATCCACCCCATTTCTCAAGCAACAATCCCTACACAACCTAGTAGTTTGGTGGGAGGAGTATAGATAGATAACCAACTCTCGACTTTATGAGTCACTGGATTGGAGAGTTAGATGTACTCTGTGTGCTAGCGAGAGAGCTGGAATGCAATCAAGTATCTTTTCTACAGGGAAGACTTCTATACTCCATTGGAATTTTAAAGGACCAATAATAAAACAAAACAAAACAAAACACTCCTTAGTTGGAACCAACTGAGAGATAAGACATTGGAGAGGCAAATGGAGATAAAAATATTAGTTTTACTACTGAATTTATTATTTATCAAATGAAGGATATAGTTGAGCTTTGTCAATGGATTTGTCAATTCTTCAACCCCAGAATTAGACTTATCCACTCAGTCATAGGCAGGAACAGACAACACAGGGCTCCTGGGTGACAATGGACTAGAAAGTACCTTCTGCAGGCAGGTAGGTAGATCCCAAAAGACAGGGAAGAAAAGGTTGAACCACTTGAGTTCAGTTCTTCCTGGGGCGTGGTGGCACCCGTCCAATGGCAAAAACCTATGGAGGCTGGAGGATTGTGGCATCGAATCCATCTCACTCACTCTGTCTCTCTCGGAGAGTTCTTCCCAAGATGAGGAATCAGGTAACACGCTCTGGTAACAAATTGAGAAAGGCCAGAGGTGAAGGACAGTTGATGATTCTCCAGATGGACACACAAGAGATCCGCAAGAGTAACCACCTATTACTGCCCTCTCTAGCTCTGAAGCTATATTCTTTTTATTTTTATTTATTTATTTTTTGAGAGGTTTTGGTATAGAGAATGCACACCTGTGAGAGAGAGACAGAGAGACAGAGAAATCACCCCCTCTCCACCACCACCCCTCCCCCCAGGGAGGATGGCCACACTGCAATGCCTTCTCCTCCATTCTCCTCTCAGGATGGGCACACATGCACAAGCACTGGGGTCAGTTTTAAGCCGCTGGGTCTGGGACTTGACCCACCATCAACTACGTGAGAGTCCAGCGACATTAAGCCATCTGCTGGTCCCTTTGAAGCTATATTCTATAATGGTCTTATTAGTTACTAGAAGATCACATGAAAGAGCCAAGTTGGGCTATGGATTTCAGTTGCTCATAATCGATTAAACCATAAAGAATGCCCTTCAGAAGTTCTCAGCCATAGTGGTGGTAATGTGAATCAGATTGGGATGCAGCTCCTTGCTTGAGTTCTTTTCTTACGTTATCTTTACAATAATTTTGATTGATTGGAGATTTTAAGTTGTGTAGCCATTCACTCAGCCTCTCCCAGTCAGGTTTATAAATCCTAATACAGCTGGACTTCTTCACTTTCCCAGGCCCAGTGATTCTGAACCTCACGAAAAGGGACGCAGTGCCTGGTGGCCCTGGGGGATGGTGACAGTGGTGATGTGGTCCAGTCCGGACCTGGCATTTGTATTCCTGGTTTTCCTCAGTGACGCAAGGCAGCCCCCGACACACTGGGGCTGGGATATCACGCTGACTTGCTGAGGAATTTAGCTCTCTATGCCTCAGTTTCCTCCGAAAAATGGGGCTCGGCCCAAAGGGCAGGGCTACTGAGAGACTTCTGCGACCCCATAGGCGGAAGGTGACAGCCCCATAGCAGGTGCAGAGACTGCCCATTCTCCTCTCAGTCGCCACAAACCTGCTCCGCGGGGTCTCAGTCCTTCGCAGCTGTCGCTCTCGCCGGTGCGAGGAAGGGCTACCTCCCCAACCCACAGGACGGTTACAGCTCGAGATGTTCCGCGACCAGGCCCCGGCTTCCCTCAGCCCAAGAACTGGCTTCCGGGACCATTCTTGCCCCTCAGCTTCGCTCCTCCAAGCCCCGGCCCACCCGACTCACCGGCTTCATCGCAGGCCGCCCTACGTCGTGACCAGTGCCTCCCAGCACCGGCGTCTCAGTAGTGGTCCCGCGCGGAGCCCGCTCCTCCTCTTAGCTCATTGGTACATCCTTCTGTGAGGTGGGGCGCGGCGTCTTCTAGGAACCAATCAGATCCTCTCTCTGTTCCTTTCCCCGCCTCCAAGTGTCTTGTCTCAGACTCTAACCGCTCATTGGTTCCTCGGAACCTTTGAAAGTCGCGCGGGAGGAGGACCCTGTGGAACGTTGATTGGCTGGGAGGGCGCCCTCCTCCCGCTAGAGGGCAGTGAGTGGTGTGGGGTGGGGAGTGTCGATGGGCGGCCCCGGTGCCTTGCGGACGTCAAACTATGCCTTCTGGTGACAGGATGTCAGAGTGGTATCAGGGTAGGAAGTTTTTGTTCACTTTCTTTAAGTTTTTGTTTTTGAAGGGCCTGTGGGAGAAGCACTGTACTGGAAGCGCCTTATACTGTAAAACAAATCTCCACAGATTTTGCTATTAGAGTCCTATCTAGCCATACAGATACTATGAAGACTAAAAACCCATAGTATAAACTACATTGTGTGCTTGACATTATATGTCCTTTACCATTCCAGGATCTAGGCAAGTTAGGGTGTAGATCAATCTTCTTGTTTAAATATGAATGAAACAATATTTTTATTAAAGAAAGACAGAAAGAAGTCAGAGGGCCGGCTCCCTGGCCTGGTGGTTAAGGGAGTTGGACCCCATATGGCTGACCAAGAGGTTCTAGTGCCTGACCCACTGACTTGAGAAACATGCTGACACTGTGAAATTGTGAGATAGGTAAAGTTTGGCTATTGGTGTTTTGGGTCATCACACCTCATCTTTGACCCCACTCTCTTGAAGGTTAAAGTGAGTAACTGGGCAAGTATGTTGGAGTAAAACAACTGTGCAAGTATCTGCAACACTCACTTTGCTCAGGTCACTGAGGGATGAACAGATGCAGAAATTGGGTGGGATGTGGAGGGGATGGGTTAGAGGTAAACCACACTCTGTAGTGTGCATTTTTCTATGTTTAGGAATAAAGTGCCCTTGAGCAGAGACTGAGGAGGAAGGGATAGAGGATGGGGAGCACCTCCAGCCAGATTATACCATTGGGAAGGGGCCTGGTCCAGGAAAGCTGGTAAAACAACAAAAAGACTACAGAAACGATAACCAACATCCACCATCACATTCTGTAGAATAAACTTGTTTAAGCCAGAGGGGTCTTTTATGGAGTTTCCAGAAGATGAACCATTTTAATGGACTTATTTCTGTCCTAATCTCAACATTCTGAGCTCAAGATTTTATAATCAGCCAACCTTTCTCTCCCACTCTTCTTTCTCTGGTCTGCCACTGTGGCTCCCAGATGGTGAGAACACCCACTTACTCACTGTGCTCCATCCCTGACTCCAGCCTTGGCAGAGTGTGATGGTGCTCTTTTCTTCTGTCCTGGTCACTCACTGCCTCATGTCCCTGAGTTCTATTTAACTTTTACATATAAAAAACTGAAATTGAGGGCCAGCAGATGGTATAGTAGTTACGTCGCTGGACTCCTACATGTCCGGCTAAGGTGTGGAGGTGATTTTTCCTGTCCCTCTCACTGGCTCTCTCTCTCAGAGTGCACACATCCTAAAGCAAAAACCTCTTTTACACACACACACACACACACACACACACACACAAAATCCAACAAAACAAAACTGGAATTGCCATTCTTTACATATGAGAACAGCTAAATATACTTCTCTGTGCTCCTAGGATTGAGATGGGGGCAAGGGAAACTGGTGAGCCGCACAAGTGGATAAAGCACAAGAAATATTGGCTACTGGGGCAGCAAATGTAGTAAATTCATCTTTTGATTGTATGTGTGTGCATGCATGTGTAGAAGATTAAATTATGAAAGGCCAATTTGCAAGCATTATTTATAGATACTATAAGAGTAACAAAGGGGGGACCAGCAATTAGCGTAATGGTTATGTCGCTGGACTCCCACACAGTCGACCGCAGTTCGAGTCCTAGACCCAGTGGCTTAAACTCATGCCGGGCGCGTGTGCGTGCGTGCCCAAGATCCCGAGAGGAGAATGGAGAAGGGATTGCAGCGTGGCCATCCCCCCCGGGGGGGGTGATTTCTCGCTTTCTGTCTCTCTGTCTCTCTCTGTCTGCCTGGCGAGCGCACGCGCCCTGTAGCAAAAACCTCTCCAAAAAAAAAAAAAGAGTAACAAAGGGGAAAAAAGAGCTAGTTATAAATACTTCTGCCCAAATATTAAATTCCACTTTGTGTTCAGTGCAGATTCTTATTCCATCAGCTAGCCAAGAAGTCTATTTTCGTTTTTGCTTTTTTTTTTTATTTTACACATTACTGCCTTTGATTTAGGATGAACTTTTAATGAACTTTTCTGACCAAGGAGGCAATCATCTCTTGGTCCTTTAAACATCCCCTGAAGATAAAGACTGAGGGGAAAGGGGCATCTTCTGACCCAGACACAGCAGGCATCTATCTTACTTCCCAGAGGACTCTCTCACTCATTTATTCTTCATTCTTTTCAGCCTCCCTTAAGCTTCTATCCTCTTTTCAAACTAGCTGCTTTACAAGTATGACTGATTCTCTTCTAGCTTTTTTCCTCACTAGTACAACAGTCTCTCATTATCCATGGTTATACTTCCTCAGTATGTTACTTCTGATCAACTGCAGTCCAGATTTCTTAAGTGGAAAATTACAGAAATAAACAATTCATAAGTTGTGTGCCATTCTAAGTATTGTGATGAAACCTCACTCCATCCCATTCTGTCCCACCCATTATGTGAATCATCCCTTTTTCCAGAGATCCACATTGTGTACACTACCTGACCATTACAGAGAATGGAAGAGAAGGTATTGCAAAATGGCTGTACCCCCTGGGGGTTATTTCTCACTTTATTTCTCTCTCTCTATCTCTATCTCCCTCTCTCCCACTTGGCCTATCACAAATTTAAATTATAAAAAGAACTTATTTCTTTCAAGAGCAAGAGAGAGAGAGAGAGAAGGCGGGAGAGAGATATGACCTCCCAATAGGGCCCCAATTTCACAAACCACCCCAGCCTTTAGCAAGCCTCAGACCATGGGTAAGCACGTACCTGGTGCACTCAGGAGGGGTCTAGACATGAACTAGGAATCTTCCAGTGGGATTGTCTCACAGAGCTTCATATTTTACTGCTGTGGTGCACTCCACATGCCACATACCTCTGGCCCCATGTATATTTTTTCCATAATGCACATTCCCATGAACTTTTTGAAGACTCTTTATATAGCAGAGACTGCTTTTTCACCTAGCCCAGTTTTTTTTTTTTTTCCTCTTGGGCATACAGAAGGACTACTTTCCCCAGTTCCTTTGCAGTTTGGTGTCCTGGGGACTGAGTTCCAGCTAATGGATGGAAAGTACCATGAGAATTTTGAATAAATATGCCTTCATGCTTTCAGCATCAGCTTGATGCAAAGGAATGGGGTAATCTTAGAAGTTAAGAAGAGAAGACACTGCAATTTAATTGTAAGATGCTATTGATTACAAGATATAACCCAATGTTAAATGCTGAAGAAAGTGACTTTAATCAAATATATTAATGGTGATATTTTGATCACTGAACAGGTAAAGTCTCCCTTCTAAATGATATATTGGCATTGGATTTATATCTAGAGCTCTTGCTGGTTTGGTTAGAATGCCTCAGTCTTGAACAGTCTGATCAATCCTGGTTGTAGCACTACTCAAATATTAACTGTTTTGTCTGCTTTGTTCTTTGCTGTTTGAGTAACACCTGGAAAACCTCTTATACATAAACAAACATTTATTGGATGGGTGAACTGAAAGCTGCAGACTAGTTGTGGCTTTGTGAACTTGCTTGACAAACCAACCAGTTTCTCTTAGGCTTAGCCACAGGGAAGCTTCTGGATGGTGGCAAGAAACTCAAGGAACCTGATGCTGTACCTTAGAGGCTGATAACTTTGTTGGAGTACATAATCTTTTTGTAAAGAATTTGTAGGAAAAAAAACAAACAAATAAACAAGGACCAAGTTCTGTTGTATAAGTTAAGTGGACAGCTGTTGAAAAAAAGATCAGAGTGGCAGTTTGAATTGTGGTGTGATGAAGGAGTAGGTGGTGGCATCTCGCTGTGTGTCTGACTAGCCCTTTTTCTGCCTTGCTCGTGTGAGCTTCAGCAGAATTTGAAATGTCTGGTGGTAAGGCTGGGAAGGACTCCAGGAAGGCTAAGACAAAAGCGGTTTCCCACTTGAAGAGAGCCCGCTTGCAATTCCTTATAAATACTTCTGCCCAAATATTAAATTCCACTTTGTGTTCAGTGCAGATTCTTATTCCATCAGCTAGCCAAGAAGTCTATTTTCGTTTTTGCTTTTTTTTTTTATTTTACACATTACTGCCTTTGATTTAGGATGAACTTTTAATGAACTTTTCTGACCAAGGAGGCAATCATCTCTTGGTCCTTTAAACATCCCCTGAAGATAAAGACTGAGGGGAAAGGGGCATCTTCTGACCCAGACACAGCAGGCATCTATCTTACTTCCCAGAGGACTCTCTCACTCATTTATTCTTCATTCTTTTCAGCCTCCCTTAAGCTTCTATCCTCTTTTCAAACTAGCTGCTTTACAAGTATGACTGATTCTCTTCTAGCTTTTTTCCTCACTAGTACAACAGTCTCTCATTATCCATGGTTATACTTCCTCAGTATGTTACTTCTGATCAACTGCAGTCCAGATTTCTTAAGTGGAAAATTACAGAAATAAACAATTCATAAGTTGTGTGCCATTCTAAGTATTGTGATGAAACCTCACTCCATCCCATTCTGTCCCACCCATTATGTGAATCATCCCTTTTTCCAGAGATCCACATTGTGTACACTACCTGACCATTACAGAGAATGGAAGAGAAGGTATTGCAAAATGGCTGTACCCCCTGGGGGTTATTTCTCACTTTATTTCTCTCTCTCTATCTCTATCTCCCTCTCTCCCACTTGGCCTATCACAAATTTAAATTATAAAAAGAACTTATTTCTTTCAAGAGCAAGAGAGAGAGAGAGAGAAGGCGGGAGAGAGATATGACCTCCCAATAGGGCCC